AAGTACTTGGTTTATTATTTTTTCCCCTCTCCCCAGAACGTGCTCTTCTTGCAGAGCAAACTCCTCTTAGAGACTCTGCCACTGTCTACGTGGCACTTGCTCCATGCATCATTGAAGAGCAACAATGGCCTAGATAAGGTGGGACAGCATGCCCCGGACCAGGATTGTCACCAAGCTAATAAAGTTTGTCTTTTTCTTTTTTTGGCTAGCTTTTCTGTTAGGCTGCTTCTGGTAGGGTTTCATGAGTCAAGTTCTTTTGTTCAAACCACCTTTTAAAAAAGAGTCCTGGAGTAAAAAGAAAGGAAGGAGAAGCAAACTTGGTTGGAGGGGACTTCTTCTATTACAGATCTCTAGTGTCTGAGGAAATGGGCTGCAGTGATTGGTCAGGACCTGTTTTGCAAGCAAAGAGGTTAAAAAAAAAGGACATTTGATGGGTATGGCTAAGTGGCTGGGCCAACAAGAGGCCCCAGGGTCACTAACCTGGCCAACGAGGTCATTGGTAAAGGCCAGGTGAATGACAGCTCCAATCCCTTCATTGCATTCTTCCTTCCATGTAGGCCTTGCCTCTTAAGGAAGAAAGCAAAGCTTGTTTAGTACATATCTAAACTTCTCAATGTAGTCCTTAATGGAGGAGGCCACCTCATCACAAGGCCGGGAAGTCTACCTAAAAACAGCTCATTGTCTCAACAATGTTGGCTTTCACTACTCAAGACAGAGAATCACTAGAGATGGCTTGGGATCAGGAAACAGCTTAGTTCACTCGACAGCAGTTCTGTGCTTCTTTGGCTTGTATATGTGCTAAACCTGGCAAAAGTTCAGGTTTGTGTAGACTTTTTAAGTCTGGATCCTGATAAGCTAAAAACTCTAAATAAAGGCTTAAAAGGTCCTCTTGGAAAGGAATTCCAAACACCAGCTAGCTCTGAGGTAGTCAAAATGGGGATGGCTGCAAGAGGCAGCACTCTATGGCCTTGAGCTATCAAAGGACAGAACTCAGTACATTAAACATTTTGCCTCAAGAGTCTTCACTTAATCCTGGAATGTATTTGCCACACTGTCAAATTAAGTTAACATATTGCCTATTTTCTCCAGGCAATGCAACTTTATGATGAAAATGATTTAAATTACCGTGAAAACCACATCCCTAAGAAGAAATTAACAACTATCATTGTGTTTGTTAGAATGAGGCTTCAGGCTCTAAATGCCAAACACATTTAAGAGAGCAAAAAATTGATTATTTTGCTATTTGAGAACAGCAGTTTTTTATAGTCAGAAGAACCTGCTCCCACACACTGCGCAACTTCTGTTGTCAAGTGCTTGAAATGTTCACGGAGAATGCCTTGGGAGCTTTTTGAAGCCAAATGAGAATCAGATTTTCTAAGAGCAAGGTGGAGAACCTTCAGAACAAAATTAAAAGTGAAGGAAAGGAAATCAACATTACAATGAGGGATGAAGTTCTATGTCTGCAAAAACCACTTTCCCTCCTAAAGAAAAGTCTGGGGGAAGAGCCTCACATCTCCTAGAGGTCCATCAGCTATAGGGGTCATAGGAACCCTGTATTTTTATGGAATTTCAGAAACTTATTCATGTTCTTTTAACGCATCTTTTTATTCTCCTATCTTCATTAGCTGGGAACAGATTTCAGTGAGGTACAATCAAGCAACATTTCACAAAACAGTGAAACCAGGTGTAGGTTTCTAGGATGATAAAGCTTGTATTTCATGAGACAGTCACATCAATGCTGTTTTCAACTGTGGACACACTTTTTTTTTCAAGTAAGAAAGGCTTTTGTTATCCAGAAATGAGGATGTGACAGCATATTGGTTATCATTTCATTGCTACTCCATTTTTCCAATCCCCCTTCCCAAATCTCTATCATCATGAACATTTGAAATTACTGTCAGACCTTAGAATGCCACACAGGTGCACGCACACACATACATACACCCACACATACACTGGCTGTTGCTCAAACACACAAACTAAGTCCAGGGAGGTTGACTGTGCAATGTGATCCTCCTATTTCCAACAGCAGTGCACCACCATGGCCAGCAAGGTATTCTTTAGCACACCATTTTGCAAATATTGGAAGTCTTACATCTTAACAGACAGGACTGCCAACTTTTCAGAACTCTGCAGGCCCTTTCCAGACTGAGTTCTGGAAACTCACTATCCATGGTCCTGATCAAGAATTTAGAATGAGAGGTCACACTTTGGAGTGAGTGAGGACTTTGGCTGCTGGCTCGCTCACTCCTGTGCAAGCTGAGATATCACCCAAGGCCTCTTGAAGACCCTTCTTTCCAACTCAAACAGCAACAAGGACCTGATGGAGGTCTTGCTGTGTAATGCAGGTCAAGCATTTCTCAACCAGGTAAGCCTCTCAGAGTAATGCCACCCACAGCAGCAGATTCTCCCTTTATGTTAAGGATACAGATGCTGCCTCACACCCTACTTTATATGCCATTCCTGACATCTCCAGAAAACAAGTTGCTTTTAAGAGATGTTCTAAGCTTCTTTCAGAAGCAGAGTCCAATATCAACCAGGCTCTGCCAGTCCTTATAGCAGAAAGGATCATGGAAGAAAGTGATTACCGTAAGACAATATTTCTCAACCTCAGCAACTTTAACATGTATAGACTTCAACTCCCAGAATTCTCCCGTAGCTGGCTGGGGAATTCTGGGAACTGAAGTCCACACATCTTGAGAAACACTGCCATTATATGTACTAACACTTTACAGCCACTGTTCAATTCTCTCCTGCCCACCTTTCCTGCTCTGGCAGAAATATTCCCCAAAAGAAGGACTAAGTACAGATCTTCACCTGCTTTTTCTCTGGGGACAGCTACGATGTTGTTCCTTAGTCCAATCATCTCAACTAGAGCTGCAAGAGATCTCAACATTGCAGTCCTCTGTTGGAGACATTACAGGGGTTTTAACATAGGCATGGGGTTTGTAATTCAATCAGGAACTGGTAACACAACTTGAGCTTTGTCAATAACCCTTAATTATAGTAAAATAAATTCTCTATGGCTGTTTTCTACCAGCTTCTTCAGATGCTAACTTCTAATTCCTGGCTAGCGCGACCTTTACAGAGGTCTTTGTAAGAACTTCTAAATGAAGAACAAATGCCTGAGTTTGCATCTTTTCTCCCCCATTTTTTTTTTCTTTCTGTGCCATTTTTTTTAAAGACTGCAGTGGCAAAGGCTGCCTAATTACTGGTCTGTCTACCCTCTATCTAAGCTACTTTCTTTTTTGGGAAAAAGAAAAGAGTCCAAATGCTTTAAATAAATAAGTAACTGGGAGTGAAATGCTGAAGAGCATTATGGAAGAGACCTGCTAAAGTCTCTTTTGCTGTTCAAATCAGGCAGGAGAGGCTGAAGCGACCTTTCCTCTGTGCTCTGAGTGCCTCAAGAACATGGCAAGGAACAGTGAACTGGTAGTCCACAAGGAATCAGTTAAGCAAGCCTGCGTTCAGATCCAGGAAAACCCTAACAGCAGGCTTGCTGCAAAAGGAGAGAGCAAGCCCACCAAGTTACTGAACACAGAGTAGCTTGTGACTTTCCCGTTTAACATACTGGCATAAAGTCTTCACTGCATTCCCCTGCTTTTCTGACTGTCCTCCTGCCCCCAAGTCAAAGTGCATCTGCTTTTAAAGTAAGAGTTTTAAAATAAGTCTGGCTGAGATTCCCCCAGCCTAGTCAAGCCAGGTTTGAGCTAGCTTTCCCTGCAGTCCTCCAGAGAAGGAAATTCCACCTCTTTGTTCCAAGACTGCAGCAAGGGGCTCCGGCAAGCTCTTCCTTGGTGAGAGAGAAGAACCCTGAGATGAGTCTTAGATTGGCAGCCAGCAGCTTATAAGCCTCCAGGGATCTTCTGTGGTGGGAGGCCTTCTTCAATCCAGAGGGGAGGAGATGAGCCGCTGGGCAGAATTCGCCGGTGGATCCGCCGCAAACGCAGCAGATAGAGCAGGATGGACAGCAACACAATGAAGAAGCAGGCAAAGAATAAGTAATGGTTGTAAACGAAGGCAAAGCTGTGCCAACGGGAATGATTACCTCGGAAATTTTCCTGCTGGATATCTCTGCGGGAGGAGGAAAGGAGAGGATGAAAGAAATGATTCGACTCCATCAAAGCACCCCGACGACGACGACAACGACGACTTAGTATCCTCTGAAGCATCCCTACAGATTTATCAACCATTTTGCCAACCTCGGCAAAAGAGATATTGTCGGAAAGCCAAGAAGATGACTTTCTTGGGAGAATCTTTTGTTATTCATTTGTTTTGGAAACCACTGGAATCCCGAAGGCTCCCGGTGATGAACATCAAGCATAAATCATCCACAATAAATAAAGCAAGATGACAAATATAAAACATAGAGCATTCAGTGAAAAAGCAGACCCTAGTTATTTCCTCGAAAACACAGCTCTCTGAAAAGCTCCCTTTTAACCAGGGATGTGGAGTTGGCACATAAAACCTTTGACTCCGACTCCTTTATTCATGGTACCTCCGACTTCTTTAATTATATATCGATATAGGAAATAAATTATAAATATGCTAATTATATATTTCCAATATATGTTATATTTTGAAATTTGCAGAGAACTTAAAATTAAAATATATCCTGAAAAAATAGGTTAATCAAATTATTTATGAAATAGGAAAATTTAACATATAGTGTATTATTTATATTATGTACAATTTAAATTTACTAGGAGTTGGAGTCGGTACATTTTTACCAACTCCGACTCCAGTAACCCAAGAATGGCTTCTGACTCCAACTCCACAACTCTGACTCCACAGCCCTGTTTTCAACCAGTTGCTGGAATGCTTTTAGGATAGGAGCTGACCTAGCCTTCTGCAGGAAGATTGCAGGATGAAACAGGAGCCAGCACCCAAAAATACTGTTTCTGCGCTTCGGGCTTCCTCACCTCCTGGGACATACACACTGGGCAGGTCAATTCCAGTGGGAGAAGGCGGCCCTGCAGGTACCTGGGAGCCAGGTCATTTAGTACTTATTGGTTAAAAGTAGCACTCTGAATTATACCCAGAATCTTACTGCAAGCCAATTTTCATTTGGGAAAGAATTCTCCTGCACAAACACCTATTAGAGGGGGAACCTGGGACCCCAGGACCAGATGTAGCCTGATTTCCAGAGCCCTTGGTGAGAGGAATTGCATCCTTGCTTAGCAGCTTTGTTAGGTGAGGAGGAAAAAAGTCATGCCCCAAAAGGTAGAGAACAGGCGGCTCCACACCATTGGGACATCAATCACCAGCATTTTATCCACTGCTCCAAATTATTCTTGCAGGCCCTTGGCAGAAAAAGGATTTGCCATCCTTGTCTTAGAACATTATAGAGGGAATGTCTACTTTAAGCAGGCAATAGTGTTCCTGTGACATCAACAGCCATGAAAACCAATTCCTGCTTTCCTCTCATGCTTATTTGCATGCCCAGCAACCAAGGAGTAAAGGCTGCTGCATTTAAGGGTCCCAAGAGCACAGGAACAAGAATGCTCTCAGACCTCTCACCGAGATGACCAACCAAAATTTTCTGCCCACTGAGCTACGGCCTCCATCCACATTATCATTAAGCATTGCATTTGTTCTACATCAGGCTTGAGAATCAAAACAAATGCAAAACTTTCTGGAGAAAATGATCGAAGCTTAGGTGTTGGTGACCAGCTGCCTTTGAACTTCACAGGTAACGGGGGAAGGCCACAAAGGCGTACCTCAAAGGTAAAAACCGTGTTCGGTAGAGGATGGCCCCCAGCGTCCACTGCACCTCTTTATCATATACTTGGAGTGCTGTTTTTAGGTTGCTGTAGCTTACAGGAAAACCAAAGCCGTTGTGAAATACTTCGTACATCCAGGCTGACTTAAAGCACTGATACCTGCACAGAATAAACATAAGCAGCACATCCAAATTGTGTTGTTATTTAAATGGTAACAGATCTAAACAGCACAATCCGAAAGAAGAATGAGCTGAATTCCATCTGTCTTAAGCACTTAATTGCACATTCAAGATCCCACTGTTGTTACCAGGATTTACGCACACATTCTCTGGATTAAGCCCAAAATAATTAGATGCCTCCTTAGAAGGGCTAATTAAGATCTGCTAAGACAAAGAGAAAGCCCTTCTCCACAGGACTTGTACGTTAATGAAAAGGAATGAAAGATGTGGGGTGAAAGCTTAGAAGTCCTGCTCGTGTCAACTTGCTGCAAACAACTGACAAGTGG